GAGAGAGAGAGAGAGAGAGAGAGAGAGAGAGAGAGAGAGAGAGAGAGAGAGAGAGAGAGAGAGAGAGGGTGTCTTCGAGCACACGCAAAAGCCGTCAGCCGCAGAACAGGGCTGCAAGATAGTCCGTCGCACTTGAGAGGTCGCATACAGGAGTTTGTCGCTTTCGCTAGGGTCATGCTTTGAGTTTGTCGCATTCGGTACTGGAAGGTACTGGAATGTCCTTTGTCGCGTCCAATGGGCCTGCTGGACTTCAGTGCAGGGAAAGCGCCACCTTGCAACAGCCCAAAACGCTCTGGCCCTCCACAAAAGGAAAACAGTGGGCTGTACCGGTAGTCCAAACATTGCGTGGCGATTCAGGCCGTTCGCGGGCCCGACTGCCTTGATTGTCCTGCGATCTTAAAGTTTTAAGATCGCGGGGCAATCCAGGCCGCCGGCCGGTAGGACCGCGAACGCCCTGGATTGCCGTGCGATCTTAAAATCTTAAGATCGCGGGGCAATCAGGGCCGTCGGCCCGGTAGGTCCGCGGACGGCCCGGATCCCAAAATTCTCACATTAGGAGCTTTTATATGTGTAGGGATTGCTTGTGGTGTTGTTGGAAGAAGAGATATTGGTCCCAAGTCCCGCCAGCGAATGTTGAGCTGGGTTCTATTGAACACAACTCTGGTGAACTTTGACGTCTGGTGACACCAGCTTGCCTTATATGGTGGCAAATGAATCGAGATCTCTTTTTTTTTTGTGGAAATGAAGCAAGATCTCTTTTTTTTTGTGGAGGCTCAATTCATTACAATGTGGTTTCCAATTTGGTTTCATGCTGATTTCCACGAATCTTGGATTGTTCCTCAGTGTCCTGAGGGAGACGAATGGTATGGAATGAAAGATGAGGGAAACGTGTAGAGATAGGGAGATGCCATTTCTCGATTTATGAGTGTCATCCTTGTGCAGGGCCCATGCAAATCTACTCTGTAGGGTCCCGGATGTGTGCCGGGAAGGACAATAAAGCAAAGACACAGCTGGACTGAAGCAGACGTTTTCAAGGATTAAAATCTATTTTCACCAGTGGGTGTAGCTCAGTCCGTACAGCAAACTGTTGAAATACAGACCTGAGTTCGAATCCAGATCTAACCAGATGGCCGAAATTCCTGACTTACCTGGGGCTGATCAGTTTCATGATGATATCTCAAGGGTGTTACCGGGGTCACTTCTGTTAGACCGGGTGGCGCGGCCGTGCGAGGACCAGCGAATGGCCCAGCAAAAGAAAAAAAGAAAGGAAAAAGTCTGAAAAAGAACTATGTGATGTACAAAAATAAACTGAACAAATTGCCGGGCCGGGCAACTTACCCTGTGTCTTAGATTTCAAGCGGGGAAGGGTAACTGGTGGTTTAAACATATATTGCTCTTTTTAGCTGGCCCTGCATGTCCATGCACCTCACCCTAAACTGTGTCCATATTCAGCTGTCAAAATAGTGAGGTGCAAGCTGTCCATGCACGTCACCATAAACTGTGTCCATA